AACTCAATTTAAAAAAAATCGTGGAAAAATGTCACACAAAAAATTCAGCACGTGGCCATCTAGCATTGATGGACACCTCGAAAGAATGATTATAGCTTAAATCATCGCTAAACCAGTTTTTAGTAAATAAGTCTTAAAATTAAAAAAGTAAAACAGAAAAAAATGGAAAGAATTCATGGGCCACTTCAAATCTTGATGGATTTGAATATTTTTAAATTTAAAAGTATTTTCAAATATTTTAATATTAACAAGAGTAGAATTTTATATCACATATATCTTATGGTCTCTTCAGCTAAATTATACCGAATTTGTAGCACCAGAAAAAAATAGCAGGATATGTGTCCTAGTAGCTTAATTCGTTCAATTGTTTTAGTAATATTTTATTTGCTAATTTTATTCATGTTTAATTTGTTTTAAATTGGTTTTTTTTTTTGGGCATGCTCTATTCCATATATAAGGGGAAAAGTGCTAAGAATTGGAGCCCGGGTTAGGTTGAGTATGGGCTTGGTCCGAATCGGGTCAAGTATAAATTGCTAATATTGTATTATTTAAAAATGGATCAACTTGGGTTAGACCCGTTTTCGACCCAACCAAACCCCGACCCACCCTTTGTTAATACTGATTTAGGCATGGTGTTTGTCACTTGAAAGCATTTCTTAACATCTTTTTCCCTTTCGGAGGGCAAATTTCAACCTTTAATTTCATGATAGCAATTCCAAACCAAGCCAGCCAAGCATTCTCAATTCAACGGATAGAAACCATTCATTTTCTCACCCCCAAAAGTAAGTGAAGAAAATAAAATAAAATCACGGAAGGTGCCAGAACCGGGACTTGCTGACGGAAGGCTTTTCAAGGAGATTTATTATTTTATTTTATTTTTTTGCTAGAAGGCCTTTCAAGGAGATGCGCGTTGATACCTCGGGGAATATCTTGAATAAAATAAGCTGGCTACTAATACCTTCATGTCAGATAGAGAGAGAGAGAGAGAGAGAGAGAGAGAGAGAGAGAGAGAGAGAAAAGGAAGGAGCCAGGAAGCAGCAACGATGCGGAGGAACACGGAGCATGTTGAGCAAAAGAACACAAGTAAAATTCATCACACTGTTGAAGTATTTGGTTCTAGATGGGTGTGCGGGGAAATATCTTTGATCTAAAGTTTTGATAAGAATAACTCAAAACATTCCTCGATAGATGAGACAATGCCCCTCGTACTCATCAGAAAAAGTGGTCTTAATGACAATGCCCTTGTCTCATCTATGGCGTGAGAGCAGAGTTCTTTGACTTTGTTTTCCTAATTCTCTACCAAAGAAGAACAGCGACACACCAGTTTTTTCCTTTCCTCGTAAAGAACACGGGGATGGAGAGAAGGAAGGAGCCAGGAAGCATCAACAGTGCGGAGGAACATGGTGTATGATGAGCAAAACCTTCCCTCAGTCCCTTACATACATGAATACGCCTTTAGAATTTGGACCATAATGACTCTAACATGACAACTTAAACCCTCTCTCCTTTTTCAAATCTAGAGGTCTTGGTAGTTTTTTTTTCCTGATACGAGAACTTATCATTTGAATACGTAAGTGGCGTGTTTTAATTGAATATGATTTTAAAGTAAAATTGTGGGATCTCCCATGATATATCCCATGAGACTTTAGGGTTTAGGGTTTAGTCACAATTATTTATGCTTTGACATCTCCCACGAGACTAAATTAAAAAAAAAATACATATTGTAAGCGTAAAAAATTAAAAGCATACGCTTTAAGAAATCAGAGGACATTTTGGAAGCATCACAGATGGTTAGACAAGCCTTTACCAATCGATTAGTTTTTTTAAATACTCGTTATACATCAATTGTGTAACAAATGAAAAAAGAATTGGCTGTGAAAATCACTTTAATCGAGCCCTAAAATAGCTAACTAAGTTGTATGTACTTAGCATGACTAAACACGAAACGGAGCAGAAATTAGTCAAAGATATGCGTTCCCGGGCAGGAGCTCATGTCCCGATCAACTATTGAGATGACACGTAAGCTGTATTCCTCGTGTCGACACGAGTCCATCTCAAGCGTCATCTCAGCACTTCAAGAAATGGCCCATCTCCTCCCCCTGTGGGTCTTTTTTTTAGCTCAGGCGCGGTACTATATATATGCACAAAGACGAAGGAGCAAGCCGGTCGCTTACTTCTCTCTCTCTCTCACACACGCACACAGAAGAAGAAGCGAGTGGAGGATCTCCGGAGGCACCCCCAAAGTCTCTTCCTCTTGCTCTTCGAATCCTCCTCCTTTGGTCTCCTGCACTTGCTCCCCCTTCTCCACAGCATGCCGAGTCCAACAGCGACTTTGGAAAGGTACGTAATTCAATCACATGAATATGCTCTTCAGATCTCTATGCCGAGAGTGCGATAAATCAGCCGGTTTCTTTTCTCTTTCGAATCTATCTTTTCTGCCAATTTAATTTCTTCATGATTTAACATAGGGACGATGAACAGCCACAGCAGCCGCAGCACCAAGAAAGTTTCGACTCGACCAAGAGGTTTCACATTATATTCACATCGTTCAAGCTACTCGTCATCACGTATTTCAATTCACAACATACCGGCATATTGAGCCCCTCAGCTCTGCAATTTTACATAATTTGCGAAGTCATTTATTTCATAGCGCTAATCAAAGTGACTGGACCCGCACACCCAAACTTGATATACAGGTGCTTTTACATCGTTTTTGGGACTCTTGGCTCCGAGTTGCTTCTTTGGACAAGCTTGTCTCTGGTCATGTGGCTGGTCGTCAATATGTGCTTGCTAATATTTGCTTTGGCATCGTCTCGTCTACTCACACAAGGTTTCGACCATCTTCGAGAGATTGTTCAGCTGTCCGAGGATGTTCTGTCTTCACAAATTTAGTTTGATTTTTGAAGCTCCTGCAATCATTCTGTGTTTGTTATGAACTTTATTGTGTGTCATTTTGTACTAAGTACTGTTGATTTTGGGATAAGAGAAGGTTATTATGTACATGCTCTGAAGTTGGTGAACCTTACCCTGATGTCATGTCAAGTACACGATTATTTTAGTATCATTTGACTCTTTATCTCAGCCTAATTGGTTTTTTTTTTTTCTAGAGGTAACAAAATGGGCCCACTAACCCATTTTTCTATTCACATTTGCTGGGTTTAAAATTAATCACTTTAATTTTATGAATTGATTAAAATGAGTTATAACAAACAAAGACAAACTAAAACTTGATCGAAATGGATTTGACTCATATTATATTCAAGTTAAGGTTTAGATGTATTACTATTCTACTTGTTACTTTTTTTTTCTTCATTTTTCTCCTTCCGAGGAACATCTAAAAAGCTAAATAGAGATTAATTTTAATAATTTATTTTGGTAGCCCCATGATTCTTTTTGGGTCACTCGTCACAAATTACACCGATAATGAAACTTTGATATTTCCTTGTGTAAAGATGAAATAAAACTCAAATTTAAGAAAATCGTGCAAAAATGTCCCACAAAAGATTTCTGGCAACACAGTCATCTAGTATGAATGGACCACCTTGAAAGATTAATCAAGTTTAAATCATCGCTAAACCATTTTTTAATAAATAACTATTAAAGTTAAAAAAAAAGTAAAAAAAATGGAAAGATTAATTCGTACAATAAAAAATTTTCATTTTTTCCGTTTGAATTCAACCCAAGACACACTTATGCATGCAGTTTATTAAGTCATGGGCGATAAATGGTCTTATGATGTTGGCTCATACAACATGTACACTTCGCTAGATGGATCGTGGAGTCCTAGCCTATTTCCAAAGCCAATCTCTAAAACGATCAAATGGTACCGAATTTTGTTGCCGGGCCATGGGCAAAAAAGGGTTGCTCTGCCTTGGATGGCATGGTCGATGAAATTCTAGTATTGTCTCCAACCAACTGATTTGCCCGTCCAGGCCTAATTTTTCGATGACAGGGATGAACTGTTACAAAAGTCAAGAACCCGTCCACGAGATACCACCAAGTGTGCCTCTTCCCCTTGTTATTCACAAAGCTCAAAAACAATCCCAGAGTTCATTCGGTCTCCTCCATCTCCAAAACATGGTCGATCATATAGCGACACCCAAAAGGTACCTTACACATTCGTTTGAATATGTTCTAAGAGCTAAGCTTAGAGCGCGGATTAGTAGCTTTCTTTTCCTTTATAATATGTTCTTCTTCCAATTAATTTCTTCCTAATTCGTTACAGAGAGAATGGGCAACCACATCAATGCCAGCAATAAGAGAGTTTTAACTCAATCAAGAAATTCCGCATTATATTTATATCGTTCAAGCTACTCGTGGTCGGGCATTTCAATTCTCAGCATACAAGGCATTGAGTCACCCATTTCCATTGTTTTTCATCATCTGCGAAGTCATCTATATCGTAACACTGATTGAAGTTACCGGACCCTTGAGCCCGAATGTGATATACCGATTCTTGTATCTTGTTTTTGGGACTCTTGCTTACGAGTTGCTTCTTTGGACGAGCCTGTCTCTGGTTATGTTGCTAGTCGTCAACATGTGCTTGCTTTGGCATGTCTGCTGGCGCGAGATTCTGACCATTTTCAAGAAATTTTTCAACTGATCAACGATGTGCCAACTGATGTATGAAATTCCAGCAATTTACTTGTATTTGGGTATCAATTTTGTTGCATGTTGTTTGTAATAAATCCTGTGATTTTCATAATCTATTTTTGTAGATCCATGATTATTTTCGAGTCAAAAAGTCACCCCCACAGTCCCTTGAAGGCTCCAACCATTAAAAGGTTATTATCAAAACTCATAGCCAATGACTCTGCCTAAAGAGTCGTCTGGGGTTGGGTAACAACGAACAAATGCGATTGACATCAGAGTCCCAAAACAATACTTCATCACCTCCTGGTCCGGCAAATTTCACATCTGCCTAGCAATTGCATAGCCAGTCTTTGACCCTCACCTCAGTATAGCAATAGGCCTTAACTCTAATGATAGCAATTCCAAACTAAGCCAGCCAAGCAATGCTCAATCCAATAGATAAAAATTAATCATTTTCTCACCCCCTAAAGTAAGTGAAAAAATCAAATTAATATCATGTCAGGTATCCAACCATGGATAGTGGATCAGAACCGGGATTCGATTAGGTCATAGCCAACTCCTACCAAGGCCTCCGTCCTTATAATCACTAGCAAAAAGAAGGGAAAAAAACAGAAAAGAAGAAGCTGCTATATAATTTACCTTGGAACAATATACCAACACCATCTAAGAACGCTACCCTGACACAATACAAGACCAACATGAACTTATCCCTCTCGCTGTATTCTCAGCTAAAACTGGGTTTTTACCGCTGAAAGGTGCAAAGTCATCTCCACATCCGGTAAATTAAACTTATACAATACGAGACTCACTCTCTATCGACAAATACCGAAAAACACGTATATTAATACCACGGCCAGTAACGACTACCTAGTCTTATAGGCTTTGGCCAACTTCTCCTTCTTTCTTCACAGCCTTGGGGACTTTGTTTTTCCACGCTTACCATTTTCCTCTTTGACCTTCTTTTTGTTCTCCTTCCAAGCAGCCTTCTTGTCAACAGGAGCCTGCACCTCGGTTTCGGAAGCCGGCTCATTTTCTTACAATCTTCATCTACATCTCTATCAGACTTGGGTTCGCTACCGCAAGCTTTAGTATTATCACCAGGATCAGTCGCCTTTTCTATAGCATTAGCGTCCTCCTTCGTGAGAGCCTTATGTAACCAGGTAATAGTCTTGTAATACACGTCTCCACCGTCCTTCCCACTTGTTATCCGAATCACATCTCTCACACACTCTTCACCAAATCTAGTGTCTTCAGTATATATGACTGAAAGAAAACGTAATTGTCACCACATCCAATGAAGAATGTAAATTTAGATTGCTACTCCCTGTAGACTACAATATAATCTCTCCGTAAAACAAACCACAAATGCGCAAAGCATTTTCTCAGCATCATAAGTACGTGCATCAGGTTTCCATAAGAAAAAGTCTCCCAAGAGAAGTAAAAACTGGGTGCACCAAGAAGCAGATGCACTACAAACATCTGGTTGGCACAAGTGGCTTCCACTTTGATCTAGTATTACCTAGGTGCCTAGCAAATTTGGTCCCAGGGCTATATAATATTTTGTATGACAAGAAAACATCACAGTTCAAAGTTCGCTATATAGCCTGTTGAAAATTCATACACAGTAGTACAGTTAGATCCTGCATCAAAATCTTTGCAAGATGCTATACTGATAACCATTTACTACCTAAAATTCATGGAGTAACATTGACAGAAGCAAGGAGCTTGTTAAACCGACTATTTCTTTGATGCCAAAACAAAGGTTAAAGGCGTATGGATTGACTACGGAGACAGAAAATTTGTTATTAAATACTGTTTATTGATGTTTTGTCCTAACAGTTATTAGTCTCACCGTGGACTATTCTCGATGTTAATGCTGGTCCTGGTTCAGACGAGTATAATAGTACCATATGTATGGAGTTTGCGTGAATATAGCATCAGACACCAACTGCTATCTATAAAGACCATAGAAAGCTAAGAGTTATAGTTCATGGTGAAAAACAGTTTGGATGGAGTATCAAAAGGAGTAAATGCATAGTGCTAATCAGTCAAGACAACAGTGAGTTGCACAACATGAGTTGAGCAAAGGGAACAAATCCAGATAAGTGGTCACTTCAGAACTTCCAGTAGGTGAGATGCAGAATTCAGTGCAAGTCAATCATCACAGCTCTCCTCCGGTTTATGTTTGTGGGTCGAAGTGACAGCACAGTTTGGCGTCCAAATAAAGGTAGATATATGGCTGGAATGCTCCAAGGCTTAGAAGTAAGACCTCCATCCTTAGTTTTTCATGATATTAACTTCAGAGTCAACTAATATTAAGACCATTTGTTAACAGAAGAACAACTTGACTTCGATAACTAGATGACATAGGTTTTGATCCAGAAGAATTAAAGGTTCTCGGTTCTGTGGTAAAAAGCATTAAGAGAGCCCATAACATCGGAGGAGAACGAGATGAAAGGAAGAACAGAAATTGGACAGGCAGATATAGCCATGAATCTTTTTCTTGGCACAAAGCAGGCCTGAGATCTCAGATTTGTAACTCCTTTACATTAATGAGGCTGTGTCCATGGCCTTATCCCACGATGGAAGAAAATCATATAATAACAAATAGAAGAAAAGAAAAGCAAAACCTACCATGAAACTATATGCACGAGACACCACTACAGAATCAATATTCTAGTCTTGAAGTAAAATCACATTGCAAACTAAGAATAGCTCCTTTCGGCCAGATACTTAAGAAAAAGAACTGACAGTAGCTCCTAACATAAGATAAAACAAGTAACTATCAAACGATACAAGCCGACATTCTCCACAATGCAGCAGTGACTGCAATCACAACAAACAGAACCTGTGCATCAATCGTCAATTCGAGAAAGAATAAACATCACAAACTTGTAGCTAAATGCATTATTGCACTTTCGAACACCCATGAAGGGGCCATACAAACAACTAAGAACTATCACACTTACTTGAACACCAGCGCTGAAGTCTTGTAGACTTTAATTGCCAATTCTTGCCCATCAGATTTTGTTGCATGATAGACATTTGCCTAGAAAAGTCAGAGTGACGAAAGGGACAAGAGACTATGCAGTAGTAGCAAAAAATATGAAAAGATCACAAGTAAAATTGCGAAATTATAACGATGATGTGGAGAAGTTCCACCTACAATCAATCGGTAGAAAAAAGAAAGTGGCGAGTGCTGCTGACTGTAGATGACAGCATACTTCTTTACCAGTGGAAATGCAAGCACTTATATCATCAAATACTTGATGGTTGAGCATCTTGAAGAGAACCATCCGAGTCCTCTGATCAATGGCCAGCACAACCACATAAACAATTCCACAAGAACACGTCAGAGATGTTTCCATAGCTTCAGTAATAAATGGGAGTAGGAGTGGGGCACTGTAATTTAGAAGTGGACTTACTTCTGAACAAGTATTGCAAGAGGGGGCATGAACCAATGCATGCACCCATCAAAGAGTTTACTCAGCTATGATTAGGTCAAAATGAAATATGATTTAGCAAAGAGACAGATTAAGCTTGCAGAGTTCGTTTCAACTTTAAAACTTTTGATGATTAACTAAAAGTAATTATAGTTCATTTTCCTATATCCGTGAACCACAATAAATTCTGAAAATTAACTCCACTCATGCTTCATGCCGAGTACAGAAGATTTGACCCTGATATAGAGGTGCAAAGCAAGAGGAGGGAGGCCAATGAAGAAATTGACAAAAATTCTAATATCATTAAAAACAAACACATATTTACAGGGAACATAACGTCTCGAGAATATCCAAGCAAGCCAAACATGTTGTAATCATCAAAGAAAATCTCCACTCATCACCAACACCAGAAAGGAGACATCAAATTTCACTTTTTAGGCAAGCAAGGGGCTTAGCAACATACAAGAACCAAGCATGCCTCTGGATTACGAACTACACACAGGCATTGGGGATTAGTTAGAGGAAATAGATAAAGAAGGGTAGTCAAGAAACAAGAGAAAAAGAATTTCAGGACTTCCAAAGGGGAAGCGCGGACATGAGTGGGAGAGTTTCTGGCTCGGATTGGACAGGCGTTGAGGAGTGGACGACCGGGCACGCGTGTGAAGCCCTCCATGAGCATTCGGACGTCGCGAATTGGGAGCGAAGGGGCTCCTCCGTCCGCCTGCTTCTCCCGCCGTCTGTCAAGTCCAAACCATTCTTACACGCTCTCGATTTCTGAATCCGCCGTCTTCTCCTACTTCCATTCGATTTCCTTCTTCAATTCCTCCATTCGCTATTCCTAATCCTACTTCCGCTGATTCTCCTTCCTGCATGGACGCCTGTTACAGCTAAAACATTGAGCTCCTTCTCTGTGAGGCTGTTTGGTTCTAGAGAGAGAGAGAGAGCTACGTGAATAAGGGACGCGAAGGGGGACGATCGACGGCAACGGACACGAGAGACGGAGCTTCTGCTGCGGAAGCCACGAGCTCAATGGAACTCAAGGCCACGGAAGCGGCTGAGCGACTCGACGGGGCGGAGATTGGTCAATGATGGAGAGCTGCGACCGTTGGGTGCCATCATACCAACTACGTCAAAAATATTGGGTCAAATATAAATTGTTATCACTAGATAAAAGTTTTTACCCCCCAAAAAAAAAATCACTAGATAAAAGCTCGAACTGGACCATTAACATTGTCAGGAATTTAAAATAAACGTGTACATTCTATACTAATAACCAAATACAGCATATGTAATACAGTAACATTCTCTCTTCTCTGAATCAGAGGAATTTATTATAACATGACATATAACAAAATTGATGCCCAAACAAACACAGTATGATTCCGTGCACTTCAAGAGTCAAACTGAACTTCGAAAATCGGCACATCGTCGGATGGTTCAATAATCTCCTCGAGCCAGCGGGAAACTCGCGCGAGCACACCGCACGATGCCAAAACAAACACCAGCAAGCACATATTGACGACCAGCTACATGGCTAGAAGCAGGCTTGTCCAGATAAGCAACTCGGCGCCGAGAGTCCCCGAAGCGATGTACAAATAGCGGTGTATCGGGTTTGGGGTCGCGGATCCGGTCACTTGGATCAGCGCTATGAGATAGATGACCTCGCAAACGATGTAAAATTGCAGAACTGCGTGGCTCAGCGCCTCGATAGGCTGCGAATTGAAATGAACGATGGCGAGCAGCTTGAACAAGGTAAATACAAATTGAAACCTCTTGGTTGAGCCAAAGCTTTCCTGTTGCTATTGACGTGGTGGTTGTCCGTCGTCCCTATAGCGAATCGAGAAAGAAGAATAGATTCCAAAGAAAGAAGAAACAAAAACCGGCTACTCAATCAGCGCTCTAAGCAGAGTCTTAAAGAGCATATTACCACAAACGAATCACGTATCTTTGAAGTGTCGGTGTTTGATCGGCCATGGTCTTGAGAAGGGGGGGACCACTGTGTAGAGACCAAGGCTTGGTAGACTGCTTCTCCGGCAAGAGCTCCTCCACCTCGCTTTGAACGTATTCTGATCTGGTGCTTTTGTGTGTGTGTAGACTTATGAAGAGCTTTAATCACTCATTTACATTTACAGAGCTGTTGGCGTACTTGGCCTACAACCAAGCTCCCGTCTCGGCGAATGCGAGGACGAAGTTACCGTGGGGCAATTTTTTTTACATAAAAAAAAGATAATAATAATAATAATTAAAAAAGAGCTAGTTGAGTCCGAGTGCTAGATGAGTTAGTCAAGTCAGCTGACGTAAGCTAGCTCTTTTTTTTTATTATTATTGTCTTTTTTTTAATGTGTCAGCCAGCTCTTCTTATTATTACTCTTATCCTTTTTTAATGTTAAAAGGGAAATGAGTACAATAGAGTTTTCGGACCTAATAGCATCATTAAAACACATTCCATTTTCTCATCTCTCTCTCTCACTTTCCTTTAACATTAATATCTCACCATAATATTTACATTATTTGGACTAAAAGGTAGAAAGGTTAATTGTCCAACGTAATCAGACATTAGTATTGCTAGAACAATTTGCATAGCTTCACTAGTTTGATCAAATTTACCTCGATATGCAATCATGTATCTAAATCACCAATTAATAAATGAGAGTCATATAGGTTCGCATCTATTTTTTCAAATAGCCATCTATCTATAAGTTAGGTATGCACAAACATGATTTAACAACAAAGTAAACTGTACAATGCTAATTCCCTCCAACCCAAAAAAAAAAAATTGTACAATTCTTAGGTGTTTAAAGAATTGATATGTTAATGAGTTCTAAGAAAATTTTAGTTTTTCCCTTAATATATGTTGCATTTGTATTGTTAAAATAGAAGTTTCATATTTCTAATTAATTATCTTCCTTAGGAAAGGATATTCTAAATAAAATGCTAATCCTTCTAATTAATAGTAATACTTAAACTATCTTACTAGAAACCACACGTGAATACCCCAGTTATTGAATAAAAAGTAGACGAAATATCATATTAATGACCTACAGTTAAGCTACATATTATGAGAATAAATTACATAATTGTGAACTTGAATATACTTTGCATAAATTAGAAGAAGAAAATCCAAAGGTTTTCCATATGGCAATGTACGGATGAAGAAGCACCTTTTACTTGATTTGGGAACGTCAGGGAAGCCACTTGCCTTATTCAATTTCTCAGATTTATCTAATCGGGTGGATGCACGTGCACCCCCATCCAACAAGTCACAGGTTGGCACTTTTTCAGTCAGCGCTTGGTAAAGAAAGAAATTCCATGGACAACAAAAGCGGCTATTGAGGCCAACAACCACCGCGGCGGGACCAGGTATCTTTTCGCCGTGGCAAAAGAATCTATTAATGGATTCCATCAATCTAATCCGAAGACAGTTAATGGTTGGCCGCCATTAGTTTAATCCAATTTAATCCGTGTCTTCAGACTAAGATAATGGTGACCACCGAATAATTTAATCCATGTCATCGTCACCATACTTCGGATCGCCATTAATTTAATCCGAAGAATGTCGGGTCTTCGGCACCGTTATTTTAATCCAAAGACCCAAAATATCATTAATTTAATCCAAAGACCCTAAATCGAAATGCTCCAAAGAATGGTGGCAACGGTTGGCTGTAGGAATGAGCCATTTGAAGGGGATGGATAATAAAATGGAATGATCTACGTCCAAGGCCTGCGCATGTTGAAATTGGACTCGATTGTTTATTCCTTTCTTTTTAGGGTTAATACGATGAAAAACCTCAAACTGATACACCTGTGATAAATTTACCCTAAACTAATTTTTTTACCACGAAAAATTCTAAACTGGTACATCTATGACAAAATTACCCCAACTTAATATTTTGACCACCAAAAATCTCAAACTGGTACATTTGTAACAAATTTACCCACCGTTAACTTGAATTAATATCACGAAAAATCATAAACCGGTACACATGTGACAAATAGAGGGTAAAACCCCAAACCGGTACACCCGTCTACTATCCCGTGTCATCCAACTGAGAAATTTGACTGTAAAATTTAACGGAAACTAACGGAAGGTAAAATTGTCACAAGTATACTAGTGTGCGATTTTTGGCTGTCAAAAAATTAATTTGGGGTAAATTTGTCATAAGTGTACTAGTTTGAAATTTTTCGTGGTATTAATCCTTTCTTTAAGGAACTTTCTAAGACATTTCGGCTGTGTCCTAATCAAAGAAACCAACGTGGTCGACCGTCTCATAGGACACTCGGTCATAATTGGTGATTTGGTTTTGAAGTTTCAAAAGTGGATAGATTTAAGGAAGGGCTTTCCCAGTAGTTTTTGGGTTACTGTCCAAAACATGCTGTTATTCTAACAATAGATTAAGTACAGTCACATAAGCATTTCTTTTTAAAGGAACCTTGTTTCAACGTGTTAGAGATTTAGTTTTCTTTACGGTTTTGTCCTTTGTTTAATTTGATGTCGTACCGTTATTAAGGCTTCATCTGTTTTGCGAAAAAACAAATGATTTGAAATTTTTTTTTACTAGAAACGATCGCTTGTATCGCTTATAAAAATGAATGAATGAAAAATATTTATATATAAATTGTTGTCCATAATGAAAACATTTTTCATTAGTTAGTTATTTTAAGCAATACGAGCTATTGTTTTTAAGAAAATATTTTCCAAATCATTCACTTTCCGCAAAACAAATGGAGCCTAAGCCAAAAAACATGCTTTGTGTGCGAAACAAAATAAAAAGACATTAAACATATAAAATGTTTTTTATAACAAGTCATATTTTTAGCACAAGACCCAACAGTGGTACTTCTTAGGACTAATAATTCAACTAGAAGTTTTGTAATATTGCTAAGGCTAATAATATTGAATCTCAAAAATGTTAGGACTAACATTTAAATAGCTATGATCAGACTAATAATTCAAATAGAAGGAAAACCATAATAATGTTACGACTTCTACTGGACTTGTGGAAATATGCAAACGGGTATTTACACCCAAACACGGCAATAACACTAGTATTTTGGTCACAAATAAGTCATTTGATCCGATTGTCTAGCGTCATAAAAACGCCATGTTGTCCATTTAACTTTTGTCTACACGAGTAAGCCTTGCGGTTACCATGGACTACAGTACCAAGATCAATCCAAATCTTGAAACAACTTTGTTTCTATAGCTTACCAATCCAATGGACAATTGTTCAAAAAGTTGTCAAGTTATTGTATGGTGGGCAATTCAGTTATAAACTTTTCGATTTAACCAATTTAGTTGTAAACATTTTGACGATTTGCTAATGTAGTCCTTCTAGCCAATTGGCCAGAAATTGCTAGGTGGACATCAATATCCTACGTACCATGATCGGCACTGATGTAGACGATTTTTGTAATTCTTTTTCCAAGTTTTCCACAATTTTTCTTCTTTTTTTTCTCCTTTTCCTTACTTTCCTTTTTCTTTTTCTCCTATTTCCCTCCGCTAGCCACTGGGGTCTCAAAGATGGAAGTCGTCGGCCATAACCCTTGCCAAAGGCCGGTGACCTATGTCGACCATAGCTGAGGCCCCAGGGACCGACAGAAGGAAGTAGGGAAAAAGAAAACAAAACCATAAAATTTTAAAAAAATTGCAAAAATAGTCCATGTCAACAATTTTTCGGCTAAAATTGACTTGAATGACTATATCGGTAAATCATCAAAAGGTTAAGGACAAAATTAGCTAAATTGAAAAGTTTAGAATTGAATTGGTATCTATATGATAGGCTTCAAACTTTTTCGATAATTTTTCCGAATAGGAAACATCACATTCTATTCCAAATAGAAAGATGAAACTTTATGGAAACTCTAATGGGGCTCAAATCCTAATAGATAGATAAGACTACTAATTCAACTAGAAGAAAAATCCAGTAGTCTGCATCATAAAAACATCATGTTGTTCATTCAACTTTTGTCTACACGAGTGAGACTCACAGTTAGCATGGACAATAGTACCAAGATCAGCCCAGATCTTGAAAACCTTATTGCATAGATTACCAATCAAATCCAGCATTACAACAGTAAACTTTAACATCTTCCCAATG